CTCCCAGAGATGGACTGGCCCAGCCGTGGCTCCTGAGAGGACAGCTTCTTGGCAGAGATGGGAGTGGGTGGAGTAGAGCATATTTTTTGCTTTGAGGCCCAAAGCGCTGTCAACCCTCTTCAGCTGCCCTGGGGCCTGAAAGCCATGGAGAGATTTACGACCTGGACAGCTTTGATCCAGGCCTCTGATAAACATCAGGAACAGCTCGACCCTAAGCCCCGGAGGAAAAGGTTTATGGATTGGAATGCAGCCTCCTGGAGAAAAGAGCCGAGGAGGGGTGCCCAGGGACAGGTTGGGCCATTAAAGTCCTCACATCAGCAGAGCCTCTGTGATCCTCCCTTGCCCTTTGGGAGAGGGGCAATGCAGGGTTGGGGACTGGGGCCTCTGAAACCAGAGAGAGGCGATTCTGTCAAAGGTGACATGGGGGAGAGTGTGGAGGGGTAGGCCCAGGCCTCTGAAATTCCCTCACATCACTCATCTGTTCTTCCAAACATTGTTACCTGTGTTCCTCTAAACTGTAGACTAAGAGAGATCAGAAAGAGGGAAAGCGCCAGATAAGATATGAGTTGAAAAAGGAATGAGTCAGCCAGCAGGCCTTCTGGGTTTTGTTGTTCCCATTCTTGTTGTTGATATTGTGATGAGTAATGATGAGGGTTGTTAACTGCTTGATTATCATTCACCTCTGCCTCCTTGCAGAACGGACTAAAGGCCGATGGAGATCACAAAACCCTCATGGCTTTCCCCCTGCCCTCAACTTGGCCTATCGGGGCAACTGGAAGCCCATGTTCCCTCATGAAAGAACCCCAGCTTTGCTGATTGAAAAGATATCCCAGAAACAGAGCCACATTCAAGGAGCAGGAGGAGCCAAGATGGTTTCATCTGGACACTTCCTCTGATTGGTCACCTCAGGTTTAAAGTCTCAGCCTCTCCAAGCCACCTCCACAAAACCATTCCCCTCCATAAAGCAACTTCTGCCGCGTGGCCTTTCACATGCTGGGGACGTGGTAGAAGGACCCTCACAAAGCAAGTGAAACAGACAGGGTCTCTGGCCTCTTGGGGTCTGGAGTGTAATACAGACATGAGCAGACATACAACTACAGGGACATGCCGACAAACTTGCAGCTGTTCATCGTGACCAACCAACAAGTCTGAGGCCGGCACATGCGGGAATAAATACATATTTGGGTCTAAGGACCCTGGCCTGTCTCACAGGGTCATCTTGAGAAATAGCTGATGTCAGACGATGAGCGTGAGCAGCTGTTCTCCATTTGCGCTCAACAAGAGGAAAGGGCCTTAAATTATAGCGCGAGGGATTAAGGTTAAACATTAAGAACAGCTTCCTGGCTAGGAGGGTTGTGAAACACTGTAATGTGTTACCAAGGGACTGTTGTAGAAATTCCTTTTTCAACAAGACTTTAAAGGGGAAGGAGGTTGGTGATCTGCCCAGCATGTTTTATTAGGAACTTTATTAGGTCATCTGGTCCTTCCTTCTGAAGGCAAGGGCTTGGACTACTTACCCACCAAACAAGGCCTTTCTGGACACAGGATGACCTCTACAGTTCCTTACAATAAAGAATGTTGTGATTCTGAAAAACGCCCTACACCCTACACCATGAAAAGGGAATCCAGAGGCATCAGCAAGACCACTCTTTGGTGCCTTCTTCCAGGACTTGGCTGGCAGTGGTAGACCTTAACAATTGTTGTTGTTGTTGTTAGGTGCTGTTGAGTCGATTTTGACTCATAACAACCCTATAGAACAGAGTAGAACTGCCCCATAGAGTTTCCTAGGCTGTAGTCTTTATGGGAGCAGATCACCAGGTCTTCTTCCTGTGGAGCCGTTCAGTGGGTTGGAATTGCCAACCTTTCAGTTAGCAGCCAAGTGCTTAAACGTTGAGCCACCAGGGCTCCTAAGACGTTACCATAAGAGGGGGAAATAGGGTATTTTTCTCTGTGATCCTCCCTTGCCCATTGGGAGCGGGACAAGACAGTTATTTACTAGCCAACCCCAAGAGAAGCCCCACCCTACCCCCATCCCCAGGACAGAACCGTTCCCTCCAAGTCAGATGGGTCAACCCCAGGATGTCAGATTAGCACATAACATTTCCAGGACAAACAGGGCACTGATTCTGATCAGAGGGAGAGAAAGACATATAATAAAACCATAACATTTTATTGACAGATGAACAATCCCCCCCATTTCACAGATAGGGGGACTAAGGCTTAGACATGAGCAATGCCTTCATATAGTCACTTTATATCAGAGCTGAGATTGGAAAACCTTGTACTTAAAGCCAGAAAATTCTGGTTAGGAGCCTAACTTTACCACTAACCAGCTGTGTGACCTCAAACAAGTCATTTAACCCCTCTGGCCCTCAGTATCTTCATCTACAAAGTGGGAATGTTATAAAGATTAGGCTTAATACATGAGGCACTGCTGTCAGCTCTAGAGCATCATATCCCTTGAACTCACCACACTTATATATCATTACTCTTAATCTGTGGTCCTTTCTGTTCATGTAGCTGCCTTAAACTTAGCGCTCTAGCTTGAAAAGTACTTCTTATAAATTCTCAGATTAACAGAAAAATAAAATGTTTGATCTTTAAGACCATAAAAGGTGTGTAATTGTCATCAGTCATCCTCTTATCCAAATCCTCTCATTTGGCAGAGAGGAGATCAAGGGTGCCCATGGGCCCCTAGAGAAAGAAGAGAACGTGCTGGAAAGAGGTTATAGGATGGAGGAGGATAAGCTTTGTTGACCTCTCAGTGCTGTGGAAACCAGCCTGCTCCCTGGCCCTGGGTATGATTTTCAACACATCAACTTGAAATCCCAGGTACACTAAGTCATTCTTTGGCCCCAAATTCCTTAGTAGCCTCCCCTTCCAGAGTCCTCAGTTACCTGGTACAGGATTAGCACCCAGAGGGTCTCACAAAGTCGTTCCTGACTAACTTGACTAGCCCAATGTCGGGGTTTGCTAACACCAGGGTGGGGAGGGAAGAACAAACTTCCTCCCCAGTCTCGATGTCTCGATCTTCTCAGTCTTCCCCTCTGTTGTCCCCCGACTCTTACCTTCTCCAGCCCCTCCCCAACACACTCACCTTCAGGCTCAATCCCACCTTTGTCTCTGAAATCAACCCCAGCCAAGGCAAAAGGAATTGAAAGAAACCCAAGGATATTTTTGAGCACCTCTTACTTGCAAGACTCTATGTCAGCAAACATTATCTGACTTGATCCCCCAAATAATCATGCAAGATAGTTATCATTACTCGCCTTTTCTAGATAAGGATATCAAGGGTCAGAGACGTTACTAAGCTGTCCTAGTCACACAAGCATCAAAAGTGGCAGGTCTGGGGATCTGAGGCTCTGAAGCCAGCCTTCCTCTCCTGCGGAGTTGGCCCCAGCCCAGGCCCGGCACTCAGCAGCAAGTCATTCTTCCTGAATGTTTTTGGCATTGCTTGCAAGTTCTGATGTTACAGCCTTCATCTTGTCCCTGGGCCTGAGTCCCCATTTCAGTGACATTTCATGTCCCCTGGGATTGGCAGAACTCCCTCCCCATTTTCCAGGAATCAACTCGACAGCAACTGGCTTGGTTTTGGTTTTGGTTTGGAGTTCTTGGACATGTCAGACATCCCTGCAGTCACTGACCTGCCTGGACTTTGAAGCTTCCAGATTCTCCCTCACCATGAGCCCCCTGACTGTCAGGAGGTCCACTGCCTTACCCCTACATACCTGAAGGTAACAACTTTCCTGGGTGACCACCCTGTCTGTCACCATCTCCTGCAGGTACATGGCATACCTGCTGAAAGGGACTCCCCCCAGGGTCTGCTCATCCTAGGGCACTGTGTTTGCCTATTTGGGGTCCCCCAGATTCCTCCAGTCATGCCCAGACTAAGATGTTGCAACCGGGCCTCCCAGAAACACCACCAGATAGGGTCACAGCAGCATAGCAGTTAAGAGAACAGACTCTGGGTCAGACTTACTACCTGGAAGCTCTTGGACAACTACTTATCTATGCCTTAGTTTCCCCGATTATAGCATGAAAATGTGATGTAAAATGGAAATAACGCTCATAGGATTATGCTGAGAGTTAAAGGAGCTAATATTTGTAAAGCAATTAGAACAGAACCTGGCACGAGGTTGCCGCAGTGTTGTAGTTGTCTGCGTGCTCCTTCTTTCTGGGTATGATTTTCAATACGTCAACTTGAACTCCCAAGTACACTAAGTCCTTCTTTGGCCCCAAGTTCCTTAGTAGCCACCCCTTTCCTAGTCAGGCCCTGACTCATGGAGGGAGACCCCATGTACATTGCCCAGTCCTGCAGCGTTCCCATGATCACTTATGGATTGGACCGTGGTGATCCATAGGGTTTTTCATTGGCTGATTTTTATGAAAATACATCACCAGGCCTTCCTTCCTAGTATGTCTTAGTCTGGAAGCTCTGCTGAAACCTATTCAGCAACATAGCAACACACAAGCCCTCACTGACAGATGGGTGGTAGCTATGCATGAGGTGCATTGGCCGGGAATCGAACTTGGGTCTCCTTCATGGAAGGCAATCATTCTACCACTGGCATACATGAAGCAAATGCCTATGCCCTCAAGTCTTAAAACTACAGACCAGAGATCCAGTCACAAGCTCAGAGAATCACAAGGTTGGAAAGATCCCTCCCAATACATAGTATCTGAGAATGAGTAGGCAGCCTCTGGAATACCTACAAGAACACAGAGTTTGCTCCCTCACAGGCAGACTATTTCAGTGCTAAGTAGTTGTAACTTTTTGTCCCCTGAGCTAAAAGCAGCATGCTTGGAGCTTCTACCTACTGGCCTGAGACCTGACCCCAGAGCTCAGCTCCCGACTCCCTTCTCATCCCAGTTCTGGGCACTCTCAGCTGTGCTCTGTGATTTATGAGCAGTTTCCATGCTGGCAGGTAATGCAAACCAGCCTAGTGCATTCTTGCCTGCTTCCCACACCTTTCTTCTGCTGAGCCCCCGGGTCAACATACCAGCACGCACACACACTCGTGATGACAGCTTCCAGGGCTGTTCAGCCAGGCAGGGCATGGCTCCAGAGCCGAGTGGATGGTGCCTGGGGACAAAGTAGAGAGTGTGGGCTCTATCACATGTCAAAGACAGGGGAGGGAGAGGCTTTCCAGAATCGGCCTTAGCACAAGCAGCATAGACAGGTGTGGGGGGATCTGGGAGGCACCAGGAAGTCTCCTGGCCCTTCTAAGGTCTTTCTCCTTTGGGTTAAGCATTGCCCTCTCCCTCCATTCCTTTATTCAATGCAAACATTGGTAGGAAGGATAACACATAAAGCCTCCAATACTTTGGTGCAAATGAAACTGATGTTTTTGAAGGGTGAGTGATGGGGTGGATGCCTGGGGAGAGAGAAGGTTCTGGAAATTGGAGGAGAGACTCTTATGCAAACTCTCCTCTACTTCTCAGTTTGCCTGGAAGGATTGAAAAGAACATTAAATAATATTTATTTCAGGGCCTACCATGTGTCAGGCACTGCCCTTACCAATGACCTAAGGGAACATATTTAATCTTTATAGCAACATTATGAGATAAATACCAAAATCTCCTGTTACAACGAAGGAAATCAGGACTCAGAGAAGTTAAGCAGCCTGCCTACAGTCACACAGCTGATAAGTGGCAAGCCATAAATCAAACTCACTGTGCAACTAGACTACACTGCCTCTTAGGTATCACCCAAGGGCTGAAAGCCTCCTCATCAGGCACACACACACACACACACACACACACACACACACACACACACACACACACACTGACATGCACACAAGTTCACAGAGCCTATCCAGGACCCAAGGATCCAGAGCTAGCCTCAGCCCTTCTCAGAGAGCAGCTGAGAACAGTAGCCAAGAGCATGGCTCTGGAACTAGACTGCGTGGTTCAAATCCTGGCTCTGCCACTCACTTGCTTTGTGACCTCTCTGAGCTTGAGTTTCCTTGTCTATAAAATGAGGATAATTGTACCTACCTCACTGGATTTGGGGAATGATTCAATGAGGTACTATTTGTTAAGTATTTAGAGCCCAGATAGGCCTCAAGGGGCCAGGCAGGGTTGTTTGGCTGAGGCCTAAACTGGGCTGAAGATAATCATCTCCAAATAGCAGGACTGTTCCAGATGAAGCCCTCACAACTTTTTGAAACCTAGCATCCAGGGAAATAGAGGTAGCCCAGGCTACAGCTTCAGGGGAGTCTGTCTGTTATCCAGTGCTGCTATAACAGAAATACCACAAGTGGATGGCTTTAACAAACCAAAGTTTAGGAGTTTAGAAGGCTAGAAGTCCAAATTCAGAGTGCCAGCTCCAGGAGAAGGCTTTCTCTCTCTTTGTCAGCTGTGGGGGAAGGTTCTTGTCATCAACTTTCCCCTGGTCTAGGAGCTTCTTGGCACAGGGACCCCAGGTCCAAAGGATGCACTCCCCTCCTAGTTCTTCATTCTTGGTGGTTGGAGGTCCCCCTGTCTCTCTGCTTCACTTCTCCCTTTTATATCTCAAAAGAGATTGACTCAAGATACAACCTAATCTTGTAGATTGAGTCCTGCCTCATTAACATAATTGCCTCTAATCCTGCCTCATTAGCATCATGGAGGTAGGGTTTACAACACATAGGAAAATCACATCAGATGACAAAATGGTGGACAACCACACAATAATGGGAATCATGGCCAAACCAAGTTGACACACATTTTGGGGGGACACAATTCAATCTATGACAGAGTCCCTGGGTGGTACAAATGGTTAATGTGCTCAGCTGCTAACCAAAAGGTTGGAGATTCAAATCCACCGAGGGGCACCTTGGAAGAAAAGCCTGGTGATCTATTTCAGAAAATTCAGCCATTGAAAATGTTATGGAGCCTAGTTCTACTCTGACACACATGGGGTTGCCTTGAGTCAGAACCAACTTGACCTGACAACTGGTTCAACAGCTTCAAAGGACTCCCTCTTAAGTAGAGATGTTCCAGAGCAGGCAGCAAACACATAAGGGTCCTAGAGGTGCTGACAGGATCGAGGCCTCATTGGGGAAAATATGGACTTTTTAGCTTTTTAAAAAGGTTGAGCTGAAGGTTCTAAGTGGCTCAGTGTCCAGCCCAGAACAGGAGGGTGACCTTTAAGCCCCACTTTCAGAGAAGCAGTGAGTGTGTTCCTGGCCCAGCCTCCAGGCATTGCCTGAGAGGCCCCAGCAGCTGGGGGTGGGGGGAAGCATGCGAAGAGGACACCTCTAGTGAAGCCAGTCAGGAGAGCCCTCTGCTCTGCCTTCTCCCACCAACCACCGAGGAGGGGCCGAGGGAAGAGATCCCCACAGTTGTGAGGGGGAAGTAAGCCAGGTCTTGACTTCCCCTCCCACAAAGGAAACGTCCCCTCCCAACACACACATACACACATACACACACACGTGCAAAGCCTAGGGCTCACCATGCCCAGGGTCTACAGAGCCACTGCTGTGTTACATGCCAGCCATGCCTCCACCCAGAAATAGGAAACCAAACTTTCAAACTGGATTCTTCTCTCAGTCAACCACTAGGCTGCGGAGAGATAGAGGCAGAGAGAGCCCCCACCAGTATGCAGTAAGTCATATGTTCATGCTCATATGTTCAATTCAGCTCAGCTCAGCAAATGTACACATGGGCACCTGCCATGTACTAGGTTCCTAGTGGGAAATAAAGATGAATTAGATACAGCCCCTACCCTCAAATAGTTTACAGTCTAGTAGGGGAGACGAGCAAGTAAACTAATAACTCTAATATCAAGCGCCCAGGATAAGTACTAGATAAAAGATGCAAACAAAATGCCACAGACACCCAACGAAGGGAAATGCGGAAAGTAGGCTAAAAAGTTCATGTCTGCTTTCTAAAAAATGATCTGGTGATATTCATCAAAAGCCTTAAAAATGTTCATAACCTTTGATCCAGTCTTTCCACTTCTAAGGCTCTATTTTGAGGACATAATTAGAGACATGCATGAAAACTTACGTGCAAAGACATATTTATGTGTTTTGTAATAGAGAAAAATCGGGGAACAAAGCACATGCATAAACACAGAGAGGTGGAGAGGGGAAAGTATTTCAAACAGAGGGAAGAGAAGATGCAGAGATATTGTGGCAAGAGGGAGCCCAGCAGCTTCAAGAACTAAAAGGAAAACTCTTGAGAGAGAGAGAGGTGTGAGAGGAAGCCGGAGAGAAGGGAAGAGGCCAATTCATGCAGATCTTACTGCTGCAGTTAGGGTTCAGGTGTTCACCCTACGGGCCATGAGGAGGAAGTCGTTGCCATATTTTACGTGAAGCGGTGGCAAAATCAGAGCTGTGCTTCCAAAGGACCCTCCGGTTGCACTTCTTTATGTTCTTGTTAGGTGCCGTCAGGTCAGTTCCAGCTCATAGCAATCCTATGTACAACAGAATGAAACACCGCCCGGTCCAGCCTCACAATCTTTGCCATGTTTGAGCCCATGGTTGCAGCCACTGTGACAATCCATCTCCTTGAGGGTCTTCTTTTTCGCTGACGGTCTACTTTACCAAGCATGATGTCCTTCTCCAGGGGTTGGTTCCTCCTGATAACATCTCCAAAATATATGAGACAAAATCTTGCCATCCTCACTTCCAAGGAGCACTCCGGCTGTACTTATTCCAAGACAGACTTGTTTGTTCTAGGAGTCCATTATATATTCAATTTTGTTTGCCAACACCATAATTCACTTCTTTATACATGTATGTATCTTCTAAATTTCTTACAATCGGTCTATATTATTTCCACAGTCAAAGTAAAATTACTTATAATTCAAAATTTTGCATCAGTATATGTACAGTGCTAGCTTTGGGTGTGCCATATATGTGCATCCTTGCACAGGCATTGTCTGTAGGTGCATTCATCTGCTTGAGTGTGTGACCATCAGGGTGTCAATCTCCGGTCAGAAATGACAATCGACCTTCAACGAGTCTCCCAGGCTCCCCTCTGTGCTCTTTAAAGGCTGCCAACAGCCTGAGGCCAACCAAGCTCCACCCTGAGCCTGAAGTAGACATTTGAAGTAGAATTCTCAACAGGAACTCCAGACCTCTCCAAGAGATGTTGATTTCCTGTGGAGGAGCGAGTAACGGAAGTCTAGGAGGACCTAGAACCAACCACACATTGGCTGAATAATGAATGAGTCCTCCTGAGGCCATCTACTCTTTTTGGTGCTCCCTAAAGTGCTCGCAAGGAGCTCTGGTGGCACAGTGGTTAAGTGCTCGGCTGCTAACTGAAAGGCTGGCTGTTCCAACCCACCCAGACGCTTCGCAGGAGAAAAGACCTGAAGATCTGCTCCCATAAAGATTACAGCCTAGGAAACCCTATGGGGCAGTTCTACTTTATCCTGTAGAGTCTCTGTGAATTGGAGTCACAACAACAACAAAGTTCCAGCACAGTGCTGGGCACAACCACGTTATTAGTTGGTGCTATAAGGATGAGACCCAGCTCAGTCACAAACTAGCTCTGGGACTTGAAGCAAATCATTTCACCTTTCTGGGCCTCGATTTTCCGATCTGATAGAGCTAAGCCAGTCTTTGCTGACCCAGATTATGAGTAGATTGGTAAAACTACACTCTCAACAGTACTCAGTGGCCAAGGGTAGTGGTTAAGTGCATCAGAAGGAGTTACTGGGACCTGGGTTCAAATCCTGACTCCACCTTGAGCAAGTCACACATCTCTGAGCATTCATTTCCTCATCAAAAAAGTGAGGGTGATCACACCTGTTCTACAGAGCCATTGTCATAAGTCAGTGGCATAATGTATGCAAAATACCTGGCATGCAATGAACACACAATAAATGGCATTGGTGGTGGATATTATTTTTATTATTACGATTAATCCCAATCGTGAAGGAAAAAAAGACAGTACAGAGAATTCAAGCCATGAGTACTGAGACAGAACTGACTTAGGGTAAGATATGAGTAGTAAAAATTTGAGAAATAGTGAATTAAATGAACCCCACAATCTCTTTTCCACTAATACTCAATATTGATGGATTGATCCCCATGTCTTTCCCAGACCTCCCCCCCGCCGCCCCAAACACCCCCCGCCACCAATGTAC